GGGGAGCCCAGAGGTCAGGATTAAAGGAAAATATTGGGTATGTTCACATAATTTGCACCACGCCTGGTGAGATGATTAGAAATGGAATGTGTGTATATACGCCGGGCGGATGCCGTTCATAGGGCACTAGCTCCCCTAGATGGTGCTGCAAGTATAGGAATTTCTCATACCCGTCAGCGCCATCTAGGGGAGCTAGTGCTGTGTGAAGACATCCGCTGAGCACATTTCCATATCCGCCGGGTGGAACTTTTTATACTGTGCTGTAACTCCCCAATGCTCCCCAGCCGTAATGTAGTTGTTCCTTTTCCTTCCATATAGGACACAGATGCTGAACAGCAGGAACTGACATCTCTACAGCAGCAGATCGAGCTCCTAGAAAAGGAGATCCAAGGGCTGGCAGACAGCGCCAAACTCCTCCAGCTCACTCTGACTCAGGTAAGATGCCAGACAGAACTTTGACAGAGCGAGGCCCATCCAGAAGTAAGCGACATTTCCAGCAGGCACTCGGACTTTACATTTCGGTAGTTTTGGTATTAAGGGAATGACCTCATGCTTCATCGAGCTTGCTAGCCCCAGTCAGACGGCCCTTATAGAACAAGGTTTCCCCTGGAGGGTACCCAGAATAGGAATCAAACCGCAAGAGGAGCATCAAACCAAATAGGGAACCGCATAGAACAGGGGTGGGCAACTCCAGCCCGACAGCTGTGCTTTAACTACACATCCCAACATGCTTCTGGGAGTCATGCATTGGACTGTCGGTTTTGCATTGCCTCATGGGACTTGTAGTTCTACAACAGCTGGAGGGCCGGGGTTGCCCACCGGTGACATAGAATCAAAAAAAGTCCCAGTGCCTCTTGATATTATTATTATAGAGGATTTATAGAGCGCCAACAGTTGTGCAGCGCATTACAATATAAGGAAGACATTACAATAGATGGTACAAGATGGTGAGGAGGGCCCCGCCCCTGAGGGGCTTACAATCTAAGTGGGAGGGGCCAGTGATACATGAGGAGGGAGCTGTGTGGAGATGAATGGTTTGAGAACGTGATGGTTCAGTGGTTAGGTTGAGGTGGGATCGGCTTCCCTGAAGAGATGAGTCTTAAGGGATCGCCTAAAGGCAGTCAGAGTGGGAGACAGACGGACAGGTTGGTGTAAAGAGTTCCAGAGGATGGGAGAGACTCTTGAAAAGTTATGGAGGCAATTTATGCAGCACTTTACCTACTGAACATTCACATCAGTCCCTGCCCCCCAAGGAGCTTACAATCCAAGGTCCCTATCTCACATGCATACATACTGTACAAGTGGCCAGAGAGGGAGCGCTTTGAGACTCTTGGCCGGGGTGGGGGGGGCACACTCTCATCTCATTAGGACATGAAGGAGACTGGAAAAGGTGAAAGGGGCTTTTTATTTACCTTTCAACTTAAAGTAAACGGTTCCCTGTTATGAAGGACCGGGTGCAGCTAACAGCCATTTCTTAAGAGTCAATGGGCCACTTCAGGTTGAAAGGTACCTAAGAAGCGCCTTTACCATCTAGTCTCCATGGGGGAAGGGGGCGGGGCAAGGTGTTGGGTTGGCCCTGAAACAGGTTAGCTGTGCAACGTGATCGTAATATGAGCGAATAAAGTTGTTGTGGACTCTTTCGCTATTTGGTTTGTTGCTCCTTTTGCGGGTTTACATGACAAAACTAGGTAAGGGGTTTCCTGTGTTAAAAAAACGTTGGGCCTGTAGCAGAATCGGAAACTTGCCTGCTATGAGAACAGTATTTTCTTTCAGTGGACACAAACCAGCATGTGCACAGTGTTTCTTCATCCATTTTAATTTTGTGCCCCCCCAACCCTACAAATGCAGTATACCTAGAAACCACAGGGCCCCATAGCAAAATCTTGTATGGGGCCCTGTGATTTCTAGATAAGGCTACCTGAGGGTGGCCCTGCAGAGCCCACCATAGACTCTCTATGGTGGGCTCTGCAGGGTCTCAGGTGGGCGGTCAAGCCCTCTTACCTGTCTGCCCCGATCCTCTGTCCGCCTCCTTCTCCTCCACGATCGCTTGCGGGCCCCGCCTCCTCCTTCGTCACTGGGCCCCACCACCTCGATCGCCGGGCCCGCCTCCCTAACGCTAAGACCTACCTCCTCGATCGCTGGGCGTCGTTGCCGACGACGGGCCCAGCCACCTCCCCCGAAGCTGCAGGTTGTCACCGACTCAGCAGCGGCTGTGGGGAGGAACACGCCCCACTGCACATGTGAATGGCTGCGTGTTTCTCCTCACAGCCGCCAGTGACAGCCAGCAGCCTGAAATGCCATAGCGACCGCGCACGGCATCAGGGGGATGTCCTGGCCGTGCCCCATAGCGGCCGCCTGGGTCGCTATGGTGATTGTTACGCCACTGCCTTTACTGTATATATGCACCTAGCCAACCTGCGGCGTACTGATTATTAAAGAGGCGCGGTCACTTGCCAAATTAAGGCTACGAGAGACTGTATGCTAATAGCCCACCCAGAATAACCGACCCGTTCACACCCCTTCTCGGCCTTCCCTTGCTGTCGGAGGCCTCACTCCGTTGCTGTGGTTTGAGTGGGGCGTCTGGGTATGGGAGAGCATGTGACCGTGCTCAGGCCAATCACCAGGCCCAAACACTTTCACATGTAGGGGCAATGATGTCATATACCTGGGTAAGCTCCAAAACTGGAACCCTGGGTAAGCTTCAGTTCCGGAGCTCCTGCAGCAGGGACGGTCCGAATGACAGTAGGTGGACGGGTTTACCGTGGTAGGGGAATTGCACGATCGCCGTCGCTTCACCCGCAAAGGGCAAAGGTGATGGTGTCTCTATTTGTCGGCGCATGCAAGTGAATGTTGTCTGATATTGTGTACAGATTTCATCATCTCTGGAGTTCTGTGATCTCATTATTGCAGGTGGAGGAAGAAACGAGTACAATGCGGCAGCAGTGTGAGGAAAAAGAAGACGTGGTCAGAGTGAAGAAGAGAGCGGTGGAATTATTGCCTGACGCAGACAACAATCTTGCCAAGTTACAGGTACTCTCGCCAAGTGCGGTGTTTGGTCAATAGGAAAGCGTCCGTCTAGAGCAGGGGTGTCAAACCTCCGGCCCTCCAGCTGTGGTGGAACTACAAATCCCATGAGGCATTGCAAGATTCTCACAGCCAGAGGCATGACTCCCGAAGAGAGATGCATCATGGGATTTGTAGTTTCACCGCAGCTGGAGGGCCGGAGGTTTGAGACCCCTGGTCTAGAGCAGGCCTTCTTACACTTTCTCCACTCATGACCACTTAGGGGGGGGCATGACCTTAAAAACTACACTACACTGCAAATTATACATTAAACTGAAATAAAACAATCTAGCTTGGAGCCCAGACCTCCTCGGCTGCCTGGGCCCCTCACACAAGTAACGGGCATACCCCCCCTGATGGCGGTCTTGATTCGGATCGCGACCCCCCTATTCACTTGCGGGACCCCATATGGGGTCGCGACCCACACTTTAAGAAGCACTGGTCTAGAGACTATCCACTCAAGTGAGAAAACAGAGGCACCTTCTAGATGTAGCTTTGTGTTTATGGACCCTTCTACATTATATAAACCTCCCCGAGGACTTCACTTTGGCTGTGATTTTTATAAATGTTGGTCCACCCCTGCACCTATGCCATGCGCCTTCCTGCTGTCGACTTCACAGCCCGTCATAGTGGCTCCTGCTTGCATGATCACTTGGCATTCAGTGTAACTATGTAAAAGCCTTCTTGGGAGCCATCTTATGGGATCACAGCGTTGTCACCGCCACAGAGTCCTGATTTATTTGTAGCTGGTTATGATACTTGTCAATACAGCTATAGATCACTGGTAAGATATGTTCATCCACCGCTGGTGTGACCAAAAGGAGGAGGGAACATATTGTAGTTTCATGGATAGTCTCTATTTGTTAATCCTCAGCTATGGGACCCTTCCCTCGGAGACGGGACCCTTCCCTCGGGGACGGGAGCCTGCCCTCACCTCGGGGACGGGAGCCTGCCCTCACCTCGGGGACGGGAGCCTGCCCTCACCTCGGGGACGGGAGCCTGCCCTCACCTACAGACTGTGTTCTGGTGTGGGAGGTGCATTGCGGTGCCATTCTTTCGTAGATCTCATTGAGCTGGTCATTTGAAAAGTAAATCTTCACCCCACAAAAAAAATGTGGGCACCCCTAGTCTAAAGAAACCTTTATTCCAGTGAAGTGATCACCCCATAGAAGCAGTAGCA